GCAGCAGGGCTTGGGTGCTCTCAGGAGTCCTCTTCTGTGTCGGCCCCCAAACCTCGAACCTGCTGCCACTTGTTTGTCGATGTAGGATCGTTGTTGAAAGAATTATTCGCCTTTTGTTGCTCTTGGAAATGCAATTAATACTCTGGTATCACAGCGCACACCTCTCAGTATCGCGCTGTCTCCTGGCACGGCCGCTCCAGACCCGTCGCCATCTTAAGTCCCTTGAGAAATAGTTTAACCTTACATTTAAAAAGAAGCCTAGCTCATTTGTGAGAATATCATATTTCCCCATTTTCTTCGCTCCAAAAGTCTGTCATTTATTTTGGTGAGTGACCCCTGCTTCAATTAAGGTTATTCTCTTCTTTTTCTTATCATAGGTCTATTTTTAAGACAGATCTATTCTGACTTATCCTACCACTATTTTTAATTCTGGTGTCCACTAACACTTTCATCTTTTATTTTCTTATTGAAAGAAACTGCTTCTGATCTTCTCTTATACCCAAACTTGAGATGTTTAAGAGACGAAAGCATCTTAGGACTTCTTTATGTTGTCTGCTGTAGTGAGATCTGAGCATTTATATGTCAAAACACACAGTAGTTTATCAATTACTTTCTTTTTATATTTCCTTTACATTAAAATTAGGGCATTCTGTTAATTTTTGAGAAATTTTGTGTTTAGGTAGGTACTATTACCTGTGATGCTTAATTTGAGATTATTAAAGGGATTATTTCAAAATATTTGTTCAATAAAAATGAGGGGATGAAAATCACTGATTTGGATGCTAATGAGCCCCTGAGAAAAGGCCATAGAAGAGCTGAAAGGGCCGGTAAACCGAAAGGGGCTCCAAGTTGAGTTGAGGAAGACAGGTCGTGTGGACATGTGAGCTGGGGATACAGGAGGGCGGCAGAAGACTTAGCAGGAATCAAAACCTACACCTGAGTCTAAGTGGAACTAACTGCACAGTATAGGTGGGGGAGAGTGTGGTGGGAAAAGGAAACTCCCTCCCAGACTCCACTCCCCTCAGCCAATGCAAAGAGGCTCCATAAACTCCCCAGCTTAGATCACTGTAGGGGAAGGCAAGAGGACGGGCAGAAATGCCACGAACTTGACCACCTACCCCAAAGAGACAGAGGTTAACTGAGAAGTGACTGAGTTAAGTTGGATATTCTTCATTTCCGTCTACCTCAGGTGATAGGATCTTAAAGGCAAACTTTGTTCTGTCATTAGAAAACAAAGGAAGTTGCATCTTTCCATACCAAGTCTGTGGACTCATAATTGTAAATTATTCTCTTCACTGCTGCCACCCTAGCCCAAACCCCCATCATCTTTTGCCTGGACAACTGCACTTGCCTCCTGGTTTCTCTGCTTTCTCTCTTACCTTTTCTATTCCATTCTTCATAGAGCCCTGTGAGCTTTTAATATCAGTCATGTCATTTCCTTGCTTAAAACTCCCTAACAGCTACTTTGAACCCATGATCATGGCTCTGAATGATTTACACCAACCTCTCTCTCTAATGAAGTTTTTCTATCATGAGCTCCCCAAGCTCTTTCCCACTCCAGACCTTTGTACTCATTGTTCTGCTTAGAAGGTTCTTCTCCAGGATGCTCGGCATGGCTGGTTCATTCTAATCCTTCAGGACTCAGACCCTTTGCCTCTACGTAGTGACAGTCTTTTCTGACTATCGAGTGGAAAGAACTGCCCCATTCCTTCCACACTGCCACTTATACTTTGTCATATTACCCTGCTTATTTCCCCTCATAGTACTTTTAATAATCTCACTTGACATACTAGGTGATGGCAACGCCATCTTTTCAGCTGCTTAGGCCCAAACCTTGGCATCAACCTTAATCCCTCTCTTCCTCTTATACCCTACATTCAATCCTCCAGGGAACACCAATGGCTCTGCCTTGAAAATGTGGGCAATCCGACCCCTTCCCACTGCCTGCTCTATTACCACTCTGCCTTGGTTGAGCCACTGTCGACTCTCACTGGTTAACTAGAATAGCCACTTACCTGGTTTTCCTACTTTTATTTTTTTTCTTCTTACGGTCTATTCTCAACGAAACAGCCAAAGTGATCCTTTTAAAACAGTTCAAATCCTCCAGTGGCTCTCCATTTCTCTCAGTGTAAAATTCTTACAATGGCCCACAAGGCCCATCATGACCCACTTCCCATCATCTGTCTAACTTATTCCCTACTGTTGTATCCTGCTGACATTTAAACTTTTCAGAGCAAAAATTACTGTCTTTATTGTTCACCAGTGTATCCCAAGTACATAATATTATCTAGCACACAGTAGGGGCTTGAAAAATATCTTTGGATTACATGAATGAATCTTGTTTACTTCTTCATCATTTATTTTTCTACTGTTGGAATGTAATATACATGAGGGCAGGGTCCTTATTTCTTTTGTTTAATGCTGTATCTGAAGCAATCAGAACAGTACTCAGTATATAGTAAGTGCTCAACAAGTTTTTGTTGACGAAATAAATGAATATCTACTGTGAAAGATTACTGCATCTACTTACACTGTACTGAGTTAATGAATACATTATGCATGCAAATAACATAGTTTCCATTCATCACTCATAGGCAGCCATTTATAGTGGATGAAGAGTGTTCTACAATAAAGCAAAGGATGAACTGTTCATATAAATAGAACTTTATGGGAAGCAGTATATAGGGTCGTGGGTGCCCCAATCATATGGTGAACTGGAATACATTCAGTATATATGACAATTCTTTCTGCAGTTTGCCCTGACTATACAAACTCTTCTGCTTAACTTCCTGAGGAAAAAGAAAGCAACCATTTTGCTGTTTATTTGCAAAACTGCATATCCTAGGGGCATTTGGGGGATGTGAGGGGGAAGGTTGTTTACAAAAATGAAAAAAAGTCATTTCAGCGTATAAGCACTTTCTATTCTTTTAGGAGAGGATCCCACTGCCAAAGACTTACATTACCTATTTTTTCATTTTCATTGAAGGGCATCCATATCTATATATTATTGTGTGCAAATGTATGGGATCCAAAACTATTCTCTGTGATTGTTTGGATTGTTAATCTCTCCAGGGTTTCCTCAGCATTCTCAAAGGCAGTTTCTGGCACCAAAGGGAAAATGGAGAAGTTGAGATGCAATTTTATTTCCCAATTGAACTTGATTAAATGGGAACTGTTCTAATCAAAAGTTTGAATCCCGAGGGAGTGCAATGTTGTTAACAGGTTTGAGAATATTTGAGAACAGGAGGAAGAGTACTAAAGTTAAGGCAGAGAAAGAATCAGGCAAAAAAATAATTGTAGTAAAGCTTATTAAGGCATAAAATTAGGTGAACAAATTGCTTCACAGATAGTGTTAAGCTCATCGCTAGACTGGCAAAGGAAGTGGAAGAAAGCTCTTTGAAAACATTATTTTTATTATTTTAATAATTTGTGTAGGAATCATAGTAGCTGCAATCTGTTAGCCAGAAACAATTGCCAGCTGGTGTCATGTGGAGTAACTATATTAGGCTGAATGCAAACATGTTTTTCCTTTTTACCTGGAGAGCATTCAATTTTAAAAAGTTTCTATTCATTTTTGTCTGAATATGAGGTCTGCCCTTGTAGATAAGGAAGCCTGTTTATTATGGGATTTAAGAGCTTTCATTAGGTTCACACCAAGTTCCACGACTGTAACAGGGAGACCACACCCAGGACAGACTGTGTTTACACAACCAAAGTTACCTATCATTAAAAATGAATATTTGGGGACATGCCTGAATTATCTATGTAGCTGCTTTGATTCTATACATTGTTTTCCTTGTGGTTACCTCAAGGAAACAGTCCATTAGCTATTTTACTGAAAACAAAAACAGATCTGCTGGGATAATGTTCTTTGAAAAGTGTTAATGGTGCACTTATTTATGGAAACATACATTTTGTTAGCAACATAGTTGTTATATTTGTTTGTTATATTTTATTTGAAGTTCTCCTAAATGATTTCTTCTAACAATTATATAATCATTTTATGATTGTTATTTTTTCCCTGATTATCTGGAAGCTCATAGACTAGGTGCCAAAATACTGCAGGGTGTAGAATTCCTCAGCTTTGCCTATAAATCTGGAGGGAGAGGGAAAATAATTTGATTGTTCTATTGCAATTCTGTTGTCTCTTCCTGCCTCTTGACTCAAAGGGTCTCAGGAGAGGAGAGAGCAAATTATGGGCTCTGTTGGTGGTGTTCATTGGATTTCTTCAGTGGTGATTTGAATGTATTTCAGGGATGTTAGTGGTTTCTAATCCTACCTTCGTTTTCTCTTAGCTTTCCTTGGTTCAGTTTTTTCATCTCTGAAATGGGATATTATACTTCTCTTGTCTCCTCAGAGTGTTGTTCTGAGAAACAAATAAGATAATGGGTAGGGAAGGACTTCCCAGTATACAAATTACCACTAGCACTCCTGTTATCCATTTGGGTAGCCAACAAGGTTATAGTTATCCTTATAATATCAAGCAATTTTATAGAAAATGAGAAACTTCTCAAATAACGTAATATAAAAAGGCATAACGATTTTCTCCTGGACTAAAGCAAAGGATATATATATATATTTAAAAATAGGTAAAACCATTAACCAGATGTATTCAGGAAACAACTGCTGGGTTTTATTGGGTTTTTGTTCTATCACAATATCTTGCTTTGGAGTATCATGTGATGCCATTAATAGGATTTTAAAGTTAAGTGAGAAAAAAAAAAAAAAAAAGAAATAGAATCAAATGAGCTTTAAAGAAGCTGAAAGAAGCTGATTCATTTTGCCCAACACCTTTCTTACTAATATAGGCTCCTACAGTATCAGGAAAGTTTTGTGGTTGTTTATAGAGTTGAAAACAGGAAAGGAAGCAGAGGAGGGAAGCTTTGTTGAGAAAAATTCCACCTGTTTAGAACAATAAAAATAACTTATAATGGGCAAGCTTTAGCACCCCTGAAAAAGATCTGGATCTTAACTGATGACTACAAACGAGACACTGATAAATGGAAGAGCTCAGCACAGTGTCACGGGAAGAAACAAGTACTGCATGGATCCATAAAGAGGACCGGTGTGAAGGCACGGAATGCCAGGTATGGTGGACTGTGGCTGGCAGGGTAACCGCGAGGGACACGTTGGCCTGGGCCAGGGACTTACAAACATTGTCTCCACCTTCAACATATTGCCACTGTCCACTTGGAAAATAGGTCAAACACGTCTAGGGATTGTGGTGAGGCAGTTACTCCGATTTGATGGTACATCCGAGAAACAAGTTGAGAAACAAGCTGTTATTATAAAATTTCATTCTCAGGAAAATGCAAAATCTAGATGTTTGAAAAATGGAGTTTTCAAAAACATCTGCACACAAACAAGGGCTTAACTTATGAAATACAGGTAAGTGTGGGAGCTCAATGCATATTAGTAGAATGAATTTTAAGAGGTAACCCCTAAACTCCTTTTATGTTCTAAGTTCTGCATGGTTGTGGACTGTACAGATGTTGAAAGAAATGAAGAACACAGAGCCTGATACACAGTAGGCACTAAACGGGTAATTAGTGAGTAGATGCTGGTTGAATAAAGTTGTAGAGTTGGGCACACCGTTTGTAGTTAAGGTAGGACTAGAATAAAACTGGATCACCAGTTAGAATATCCTGGGTAGAAATTAAAAGCAGTCTGGAGCCAATTTCCCCTGCCGAGAGGGGACCACAAGCCGTGTGACGTCTGGTCTAGGAGACTTCCCAGCAGTGTGCAGGTATTATTTCTGCAAAAAAGGCTGACCAGGTTCCTGTCCACTCGCAGACCCGAGAAAAGCTGCGGATTGTGAAGTCTCAGATAGTGCCTGCGACGCTGTCCTCCGGCCTCTTTCGCCCCACCTTTTCCTTTCTGCCACATCTCTCCGCGCCCCAGGCTGAAGGGATCCCACCCGCCGCCGCCTCCGAGCCCCGCGGAGCAGCGGACTCCTCCCCTGGAAACTCCTCCGGGGCTGGGGGAGGCTTTGGCGCATGCTCCGTACCTAGGGCAGGTTTTTGCTGCGGGTAGCCGGGCTCCTGTCACACCGGCTGGCGGGTAGTGGCGGTGCCAGCTTGTGTGTGCGACTGTGTCTGCGTGTCTGCGCCTGGGCTGACAGACCCGGAGCAGCAGTGCGACTCGCTGGCAGAGGCGGCTCCGCAGAGGCGCCGCGCCCGCTGCCGCTGCGGGGGCTGCTCTGCAAACTTGCGGCGGGCGCCGTCCGCCCTCGCGGCTCCAGCGCCCCGCGACCTGCGGGCAAAGGGGCCGGGC